CATAGTCACTCATTCCTCACAATCACTCAGCACTCGGCACTCGCACTCAGTAGGTACCTGCGCTCACTAGGGGTGTGTACAAACTTCGGAGGGGCTCCTTCAGCCCAAGCACTATAACAAGCCAATCATGGCATAAATTAATGAAACATGATGTGGCGTACAGCCCGATCCCATAAATATCTTCACAATTAGGCCCTCGGCCTCACTCAATCATCAACTTCTCCGGTCTCTCGGGCTCAAGATGTCATGAAAATAAGCCCAAAAATGATAATATGATGTATCAATAGATATCAACAGAGACTGAAATATGATATGAAATGAATGAACATGACTCAGTGTGAAATTATAATTTGAACATATAATTCAACCACAGAAATAATCCCAGTGGGTACCAACAATAATAACATATGTCTAAGCATGATTTTTAATACGAGTCTCAACTCAATTTTTTCTAACACGTAGAGAATGTACGGATATCAACAGATTATTCAACTATACAGTTAATGGAATTTGACCAAGTCACAATTCCTACGGTGCACGCCCACACGCCCGTCACCTAGCATGTGCGTCACCTCAAAACCAATCACATAACACATAATCCGAGGTTTCATACCCTTAGGACCAAATTTAGAACTGTTACTTACCTCAAACCGTGTAATTCTATATTCCGCTATGCCCTTTCCATGAGAATTGGTCTCCAAAAGCCTCGTGTCTAGCCACAACTAATTTGATTCAGTCAATACCAATTATTGTAATTAATTCCATAAGAAAATACTAATTTTTCCAATAAAATCCGATATTTAACTCAAATATTGCCCGTGGGTCCCACATCTCGGAACCCAACAAAAATTATAAAATATGAACACCCATCCAACCACGAGTCCAACCATACAAATTTTATAAAATTCCGACATCAACTCAACCATCAAATCTTCATTTAAAGTCTTTGAAGATTCCTACCATTTTCAACTCAACCTCTACCCATTTGAACTCAACAATCTTTCCATAAACCTTATTGATACGTATAAATAATACTCTTACACCCAAGAATCATACTCTTAATCACCCATCTTTATCCAAACTCGAAATTGAAGACTAGGAGTTAGAACCTTACCTCTTGGGTGAAGATCTTGTGATATTTCTTTGTTGGATTTCAAAGCTTGAAAAAGATCTTGATGAACAAAGCACTCAAGCTTCTTCCTCTCTCTAGAACACTCTCCCTTCTCTCTAAAAATGTCAGATTTTAGCTCCAAAATGAGCTTCAAGAAATATAAATCAAAGTTGGATCGGGTTATAAAAACCCAAAAATGAAGCTCCGGACAGGATATGCGGTCCGCATATCCTCCGCACAATTGGCCTCCAGAACTAAGAAAAACCTGCCTGGGTTTGCGGTTACTATGCGGCCCGCAGACCTGTTCTGCGGTCGCATAATGAATCGTAGAACAGTTCTGCGGTCGCATAGTCGACCGCAGAATGGCATCCAAAACGACCCCTTACCTACCTCACTCTGCGGCCATTATGCGGTCCGCAGAGTGATTCTACGGTCGCATAATGGACTGCAGAAATGAATTTCTCTGCCACAATTTTTCCTTTACTCCCCAGTGCATTGTTCAACCTTTGTACTAATTGATCTACCTCGACACCACAAAACCTTAATTTTCTTAGCAAAAAAAATCTTCAAGGTTGTTACACATAAGTTAACATCCGGTCAACATTTTTAACTTAAATTCTAAACCTTGGAACTAAGTGTTACAAATCATTCTAAAACCTCACCGGACCCGAACCAATTACCCCCGGCAAGTCACATAACAAATGTAAAGCATAAATTGAGCAGTAAATGGGGGAACGGGGTTGTAATACTCAAAACGACCAGTCGGGTCGTTACATTCTCCCCCTCTATGGCCTCAGCTGATGGCGGAATCTCAGGCGGCGACTCGATGTCATCTTCGAGCACTATTTTTGCCATCTCACGGATGACGAAATCACCCCTTACTGAATCTACAGCCCGGGCGACCTCATCACCGACATCCACCGATCTTCTATTACGGGGAACCAAATTCCTACCGCTCGGTGACGACTCTTCCTCCCCATCCACTAAATGATGCAAAGGAGAAGCTAGGAGCTCTCCTGTCGATATACCCGCAGGCGGAGAAGAAATCGATACAGAGGCAGTAATAAGTGTGGCCGACGAACGAGTAGACCTGGCCGCCATGGAAGAACGAACAGAAGCAGATGACCGAGCAGGCATAGCCGCAATCACAGTAGGAACAAACTTCGAAGAAGAAGCAGCCTTCCTCTTACGAAACGCAAGAGGAGGAGCCCTCAGCCTCCTCGAAGATCCTTGAACTAAAAATAAAATTATCAAAGGTTGTCACTACCGATAATAAACTATAGCGAGTAAGCGACCATGAGGTCAAAACAGTAAAAATAAAAAATAGATGAACTCACCGGCCAAGGAAGAAGCATGCATTTAACTTCATGAGAAACTCTGTCCACTCACGAAACAGACAAATCAAATGCCTTTCATAAAAAAATGGATACTTACGAGCGTGATTCCAAGTCTCCGGAAAGCCGTCCGCGTTGGCTACCACGTCTTCAGTTCTGACAAAAAGGTAGTTGAGCCAGAACTGATGATTTGCTTTGTCGTCCATCTTCACCACCAAACATTTACCTCCTCGGTGGCGAAGGTGCAACATCGTCCCCCTATAAAAGCTAAGGGAAAAGAGATGCATCGGATGGCGGAGTGTAACCTCGACGCCGACCAACTCCTCTAATTTTGTGAGCATCCTAATAAGCTTGTAGATGTACGGAGAGATTTGGGTCGGGCAAACACCATAGTAGCGGCAAAATTCTTCCACCAATGGGAGAAGGAGGAGAATATAACTGACCTGGAAAGGATAGGCATAGAATGCGCAATATCTAGGGCAGTGGATTTGCACTACATCATGCCCTGCTAGAACTAGATTGATGTGGGCAGGAATGTTGAATTTTGTCCTAAGCTCAGCCAGATCGGCCTCTTTCATCACTAACTCCGAGACTTCGGGCTCACCTTCGGGTGCCTTCGAAAAGTCGGACCTAACTTTCTCACTACGAGGGATTATTTCCTCCACCGTTGGAAAATTCTCATCCTCAATAGCGACAGAGACACTATCAATGTGAGGGGGCATAAGCCTCGCCAAAGGGACAGGGTCAGTTGCCATACCAGAACTAGAGGATACATTAGCCATGTTGTTAAGAGAGGATATTCAATCAAGGAAGTGTTAGAAGCAGCGATAATCGCTAAAACTAGTAAGAAGATACGCGACAATAGAGGAAGGAGAAGAAGAATGCAAAGGATATTGATAGGAAGAGCAAGTAGAGGGCAAATAAAAGTCATTACATCCCTATTTATAAGAATCCGGGTATCAAAACCAAGAAATTATGCCATCATTACCTGGCAGTAGAGTCAAAACGGCAACCCCAATTGACAGTCGCACGGGAAACGACGCAAAACATCGGGAAAAGGCGCCATAATGTCGCACGATGTCATGACGTCATTCTGGTGCGGAAGCGACACCCCCAATAGTGCGTTCACAAAAGGTCACGATGTCATCTCGTCTGGAATATCACTACTCGACTCGCTCGTCCAAGTCTGGCCAACTACAACAAATAGAATCCGCCCATTAAGGTCGCATGAGGCCGACCTTAATAAGCGGAGGGACTAACTGTATAGGTCGAAATCTGTCTCAGTATTTGGTGGGAAGTAACATCGAGAAAAGAGTCAGCCGAGGTCGACCAGGAGATGGTGAAGCCTGTGGTCGAGATGCAGACGCATGTCGATGTCGAGCACGGCGTAAAGAACTGTAACGGCTAATTTACTAGGGTAGGATATTAAAGAGAATATTCTTTATACTTGTGTTATTATGATTTATTGGGGGTATATCCCATATAAATAGGAAAAAAGACAATGAATAAATATATGTGATATTCACTTGATAAGAACACTTTTTAGAAGAAGAATCTCTTTCTCTCTAGCAAAGATACAAACATTACCTTTTCATCAAAATTTTTGCTCATATTATTCCATACTTTTCCATCAGATCCGAGAATAATTCGAACATTCTAGGATTTATCTGTCACGCATCATTGTTAGGAGAAACAATCATCTAACTCATTCATTATTGGGTGAATCATTCCTTTTATTTACTTAAATGCCATTTATTGTTATTTATTGCTAGTTACCCCTCCATTATTGCTCTTCTTTTGGCATATTTAATGCACGATATTATTAATCCCCCACTGGATCAGCCCCACATTATCCGTATTTTCAAGATCAATGTTTAGGAATATTATTATTAACTAGGTTTAACCCAACATTATATAAATATAAAGGTTTAACCGAAAGTTATACTTTTTGGTCAAACATGCTTAACAATTATAACTAATGTTGGGGCTAATACTAATTATCCCCCTCGATCCACTTTAATTGATTTATTGACTGTTTTTACGTATATTAAAACTTTATCTTTTAGCATTAATTAACATAAAATTGATTATATTAACCTTAATTTGTTCATTTGAAATATACTCCCTCCGGTCCACAATAAGCGACCATTTTACTTTTGGCACACCCATTAGGGAAATACGAACTCCTAGAATTTTTTTTCATTAAATTAACCTTAATTAATTTTTACTTTAACACATTAGAATATGTAAATAAGGGTGAATTTTGGAAAAATAAAATTAATTCCTTCTTGATTATGTAAATGAATACTTATTTTGGACCAAAATAAAAATATAAAGTGGTCACTTATTGTGGACACTTACTCCCATGCTCTTTATTTCAAGGATATCTTTGGATAAAAAAGTTAATTCTTTCTTAATATCTGTAAAAATTAAATATTATGGACCATAAAATAGGTGCCAAAAACTCAAATAAAGTGTACAGGAGGGAGTAAGAATAATAATTTGGTTTAGTTATGTGGTCTAATAATAAGAATATCGTAAAAACAAAGTACTACAGTAATAAATTTCTTCCAAGAGAAATAAAAACGCATCCTCCTCCGGTTCGTACGTTGTTTTGTCAGACGTAGGACAGAACAAAAGATACTTGACGGATTTAAGAACTACTTGTACTTTTAACATTCGGTTATTACTTCGATCAAAAAGCAGTTCAGTTTGGTGTTGGGTAATTAACTATTGTCAGAGTGACATGGCGGATGCTTATTGGCGGGTCACCGACGGCCGGATACAGCCGGCTTCTCTTCCTCCGGTCGCCGGAAAACGCCCTCGGACCGAATATGGTACCTACTTCCACTCCCTATCTCTTCAAACTCTTTGAAATGAAAAATTTTGTCAATTTATTTTACTCCGTTGTTCTCTTCGGAATTGACAAAAGCTAGGGTTTTTCCTTTTATTCAGTCAAAAACTTATTTTTGAGGATTTTTTTGTGCTTTAAGGGGAAATATTAGGATAGCAATTGAAAAAAAATGCTTCTTTAAGGATGTCTTTCGTAGAAGTAAGAAGAGCAAGTAAAAAATGTGATCTATTGTCATTTGTCGGCCTAAATTGGATGGTCCCCGGAAAAATAGTGTCAGCAGTTTATTAAACCTTGAACATATTTTTTGTTTTCTTATTAAGAGGAGAATTGGACAAAAATCTTCTCCAAGTAGCAGACTTGGCTTTCATTTATGTTCTCTATTGTTGATGCTGACAATGTTTGAACATCATCTTGCCTAATTTAAGTTACCACTCTCTTGTTTCTTTGTGTGTGTCTTCTACTAGCAAAACTATGAGTGTTATCTGAGTTATTGCCAATTATCTCTTTTCAAGAAGGAATACTATCATTTTATGTTGTCAATTCATAGATATTCCAAGTCGTCCTGAGATGCCTGGTTATTATGGCCGCAATGATGAACAAGGAACGCATCATGCCATTAGGGATACAGATCCTATTGAGGCATCATATGAACAATACTTGCGAAGTGGGGTACTTAATATTTACCTCTTTGCGTGTTTATTTTTTTTATGCTTGCTTCCGTGACTATGTTTTAGTCTAACATATTGCTAACAATTTTATCAGCAAATTTCCTCCTTTGCTGGTAGTGAATCTGCAAGATCCATGGGTAATGGAGTAACCAGTCATCCTATTGATGATCCGCGTGCTATGGGTATTGTGGGAGCAGAAGCAGTTGTTGCTAAAAGCAGGGCCATTGGGATGGGAGGTGTTAGACCAGAAATTCCTCTTCCTCCTAATGCCAGCAGTACATTGTTTGTTGAAGGGTTGCCAGCTAATTGCACCCGAAGAGAGATGTCACGTATCCTTCTGTAATCTGCTTCTCCATTTAACTACTTTTCTTACGGTGCTAGTTCTTTCCTTGACTTCAGTTTGCAGATATATTTCGACCATTTGTAGGTTACAGAGAAGTTAGACTTGTGATCAAAGAATCACGACACGTAAGAACATACCTATATATTTCTTTCTAGTCTTAGTTCTATTATGATGTTTTCTTAGGAATTCTGCCCCATCAACTTATGTAGCCAGGAGGGCATCCCTTGGTTCTTTGCTTTGTTGATTTTGTGAGTCCAGCCCATGCAGCTACTGCAATGGATGCCTTACAAGGTGAGCTGTCCATACCTGCTATTGGTAACATTAATCTTGTGGCTGATTTCGCTGTAGGCTTGAAGTATATTCAGTGTTCTATATCCTTCCCTCTTTTTGGGAAGCCTGTAAAAATGGCTACAAAAATTAAGGCTACAACAGTTAAAAGGTGTCTTTTGCTTATCCAAGAAAAAAAGGCTTCAGAAGATAAAAACTGTAAGAAACAATTAGGTTACAATATTAGAACTATCTGGCATTTAAATTTGGCTGTGATGGACTTGAAGGTAATGACTTTATTAAAAACAGAAAAAGAAAAAGTCAGCAAGTTTCCCCGTCAAGAGTGTGAACATGACTGTTTATAACTTTATATTATACTCTTAAGGCTCTCTAAAAATTAGCTTAAATGTTGGTGGCACTTTTATGATCAGTTAGGTGTTTGCTCACGTAATTCCGCTAGATACTTCTAATTGTAGACTCTTTTGGTGTTTGCTCTCTTTATTTGATCACTTGCATCTGAGACTTTGTAACTTATGTTTTTCTAGCATGAAAAATTCTCCTGCCATTCCTGCGAAACACAAAAGGTTCTATAGACAAAAATGGCTATGTAGCCCTAATTTAACAAATTTCATACATATGTTTTGTCTCATTCCTTCCCTTCCCTTGCACATCTGCAGTCGAATTGAAGCACATTCCAAAAGTGATGGTTTTGCCAAAAGCACCTGAAATGGAGTACAAGTGTCAGTTTTTATTTTTTCTCTCAGACTTTATACTTGCAATTCATAAAATTGATGCCTCCATTCCTTCAACAAAAACAAACAATATCTTCCCCCAAAGTTGGCTAACCAGTAATGTTTTCTTTGCTTTTTTTTTGGGTGGGGGTTGGGGTAGGGGGTGGATGCTCCATCTTGGTTTGTCTATTCCTTCTTTTCCCGCCTTTTCTAAATGTCCATTACAATGCGTGGCCTTAATAAGCTAATCTGGAGAGTGGACATCCCTTTCCTGATTCTTTGTAATCCTTAGTTTCTAGATCCTTTACTCTCAGTTATACATATGCCATCTCCTTATAAATGCAGAACTGGGTCTAGCATTTTCTTGTTTTTGGGTTTGTTAGAACACTTCAAAATACTTTTCCAAACATTTTTTAGACGTGACATACATTCCTCATTGTTGAATATTGGGTTCTCAAAATTTCTCAGAGAGAAGCTTCTACAAAATGCAGGATTAGCAACTTCAAATAATTATAACGTTACATTTGAGTGTTGAGGAACTCGTAGCTTTGAAAATTGAGCTAATCTTACTGCGTGTTGCTGTTTCTGGATAAATGCCGAGTGCTTAAAATCAATTATAAATGGTATCCCTCCTGTTGCTCGGTCAAGGGGGGAAATGCAATCTTCTTTATGATTTTCTAAAAGTGCTTTCAACTGATTGAGGACCCAAAAGAAGACACATGCATGTGGTGGAAACTTGACGCTTGCTTTTTCTGGCAGAGATGATTGCCTTGCTGTCCTGCTCTAGGCTATTGTATTCTTTTTTCCCTGTTTTGGCACATTACTCTTCTGGGATTGCTTTAAGGGAAGCATTGCCTGGGATTACTTGTTGCAAGGCATTTTGATTTAAAATTGATCTGCTCTTTAGACTTTTCACCAGTGGTTTAGTTTGTCAAATGTTTTGAAAGTTCATGGGTTAGAGCTACAGTAGTCCAATTGAGATAAATCTTAATGCAGCCGATCTGTAATTCAGTATTCTACTTGAAGAAACTGGAGAATGGATTCCCTCCTGGAGAATGTTTTAATTAAATACGAATAAATTCAAAGTTTTAACTCCCCATTGAGGGGTTTTTTATGCGGTTTGTCCACTTTTAGCCTCCAGCTACATCTCAAGACTCGACCTACAAATTTTAACGGAGACATCAAATTTGTTTGGTTGGTACAATTTTTGTGATGTAAATGATATAATTCAATTTTTGTATTTTGTGGGCTCTAACTTATTTTAGGAGCCAGGGATGCCCTTTAATGAAATCTGTACTTTATAAAGAAAAAGACAAATTTTAACGGAGACTGGATCTGGATCATCTGTCTAAAAAAGCCATCTGAAATGTTGAGTATGATAGTTGCCGTTTACTAGACCCGTCAAAAAAATTAGGTCTCCGCATTTATCTTGCCTCAAACAAGCAGAGAGTGATCAAGTTATTCAGTTCTTCTGTAGTTTGTTATCTTGTTTCTTTGAGTGACTTGCATGTTAACACTTTTTCCTAGTAGTTGGACTTCCATAAAGGTAAAAAGAAATTTGTACAAGGTACTGTCTGTAGCTTTGCCAGGGTTTGAGTTGCATGATCTGGTGAGATCTAGTTGCAAATTTCATGGGTTGGTCGCGTGCTTTAATTTTTATTATAAAGTGATCCTCTGCCAATTTTGGGACATTGAACTCTAAATCACATGTTTGTACGTCTGTACCTAATTCGTCAATGATGTGTGCTGTGTCAGATAGTAAACTCTAATCTTGCAGGTTATAAATTCGACGATCATGACCGTGATTCGGTCAACTTAAGGCTGCAATATGCTCGCCATCCTGGTGCTAGGTCAGGTGGCGGGCGTCGCGCAAGACGTTGAATTATGCGTCTTTACAGGTGATACGCTTAACTTCTGTGCACTTGACCCTCTATTACTAATGATGAAAGGCTACGCTACAAAATTCATCGATCGAGCTAAATTGTGGAATGACCCTTACTGTGTAGGACCAACTTGACTTTGGAGTTACGTATTTAGATGTTACGCCAGCTTTTGCAGTTTCGTGTACTACACCTCTCTCTGAAAGGGTTTCATTAGGACCGGCCTTTTCTATTTGCACGGGTAGAAATGGTAGTTGGATATTAATATTTAGCTTCCCTTTCCGCGTCAATGTTGGTGTCGTCCTTTGTTGAGGACGGATGTTGTTATATTTCATCTCCTGATAGATGAAGATGATAGTTTTATCTGGCGGTTAGGATGTTACCTTACCGTTGTAATGATAAATGGGAGGTGCTGCGTACTAATTTTTAGATTTGCTTGTTTGATTATGCGGTATATTGTTCGAATTCATCTTTAGATTTGCTAAACAACTTGTTATGACATAGCCGTTAGCCCATTTCAGGGTTCTATTTGATGAGCTATTGATTTCTGCTTTGATTGATGACAGAAATGCTTAGTGTTCTGTGTTGATATTGGATGTTTGGTATACTGGGATTTAGCATTTAGGTAGTGGAAGAAATTCGCAGGAGTAAGGGAAAAAAAATCTCCTTCCATTTGGCAATTCTTTGTTAGCATGTCTGCACTTTCCCTTGGTATAATTTGTTCATGGTTTTGGTCACATTTCTTGGAGTCTAGTACTCAGGAACTGTGCTTCAAGAGTCCTAGGTTCCTCTAGCATTTGCTCATATTATACGATTTCGTAGTAGGTCTATGACTGTGAAGACGAGGGATCTATTCTTCAATCCTGTATTGTCATCAATGCATATACTACAACTATCTTAGTTAACAATTTTTTGGTTTCTTCATTTGTTGCATATTAGTGCTCTTCAAAAATCTGCAGATGGAATTTGGTACCATTTTTTTAGTTTATAGTTTAATTTATATTAGGTGATGCTGGATCTGTTTGTTTAGTGTGTTCACAGTTATAGAGCGGAGGCTGCCAAATTCTCTCATGTGTTTGTATGGATGACACATAATGCTGCTTGAAGGTTGCGCAGCATGCGTATTCCATCTCAAAAGACCATGTTGTCACCAATTTACACTTAATCATGTTGAATACAGTAGATGTATCCTTGTGTTTTTATATATTCTCTAACTAATTTTCAGAAGTTGACATTCTCATGTATTCTTGCTTTAAAACCAAGAGCGGGACGATGCGAAGGAATATTTGATAAAAGAAAAATTTATGTTAATTTGACATTGTTAGGTTTGCTGCCCACGGCAGACAAATTCTATGGCCAGAAGGCCCAGAAACATATTCTACATAGTCTTGGCACTCATTTGCTTTCTGCATGTAGTTCATCAAATGGAATAATGAAACCTGGAATATTAATCGTCTATTTTACAGCCTTGATACTTTCAACATATACCATTGATTCTTTTAAAAAGAAAAAGAAATAACAGTAACAAAAACTATACTTCAATCTTAAGTTAGTTATGGTTAGCTATATGAATATCTTACTATCTATTCCGCTCCATTTAAAACAAACAGATGAGAAGAAGGAAAAAAAACAAGGTAAGTTTAAACCCATAAAACTAATTTTTACTGTTAATTAATGGAAAAGCTGTAATAATTCAAAAGCATATTTAGCAGATACAATGTTTTTCTTATTTATTGGCGATGGGGAGGGGGCGTTTCCAATTGGCGACGCAAACAACTGAACATGGACGGCAAGAAGCATATAATTTTTTTTTGAAAATTTCACTCAAACTTGCTGCAAGAACAAGAAAAAGAAAAAGCTTTTCGTGTAAAGTTACTGATCCGACTAATAAATCAATCGTACCACACTCCTTTGTGTTATGAGAAAGTGTGATGTTGATATTTTGAAGGAAAAATTATCCCTGGAATATATAAGCATACGGAATTAACAAAATGATAGCGTGGAAATTATGCCTTCTGATCCAATCAGAGGGTTAATCTGTTCAGTCGATGGAGTAGTGAACGAAAAGTTAATGAAACTTAATCTAATCACTGGGTTAATCTGTTCGGTCAAAGGTTGCGAACCAAAATCTATAGCTTGGTCTTTGTGATGTAATGACAATACACAGCGATAATTCGACAGAAATTGAAAAAAAAACAAAAAGGCAGGTTATCAAAAAATGTAAACTATCGAGTAAAGAGAATTAAATGGACAAAAATATGTTTTCAAACCCCATACATTTAAGATTAATATGTTTCTTTTCCAAAGGATCTCAAAAATATTTTCTCTCTTTTTTCCGATTCCTTTTCTTTTCCAAAGGTTTTCAAACCCAATTTCTCTCCTTCTTACGATCACCCAAAATTTTTATTTTTTATTGATACAATGCAGACGAAATTCGGAAAATTGCTCTAGAATCGGAATATTGCTCTAGAATAAGCTGTGGGTAAGTTTGGAATCTTGTTTTCTTTCTCTCCAAAATCTTTATTGTATGTGACTTGTATATGATACATCAATACCAAAAACAATACTTGATATAATATTAATACAATTATATTAGATTTTTAGTGTAGAGTTGTGATTGAAAGTTAAAGAAGATGAAGATCATAATTGTATCACAATTTTTCAGAAATGTATCGTGATTGTATTATATTTGTATATGTATCATAATTGTTGAAGGAATTGTATTACAAATGTATGATAATTGTATATTGTTGGGGCAGTTGTGAGTTCGTGACGAATTTCATGGTTTGTATCACAAATATATGATAATTATATATTAATTTATTAGTATTATATCAGGTATTATTTTAGGTATTAATATACCATATACAAGTTAGACACAATTATGATACACGTATGATAAAATTATGTTTTGGGCAGAGATGTATCTGAAGCAATTCAAATACAATTATGATACAATTATTATACAATTCCTGAATACTTCTTTATTTTTAGGGTTGTTCAGTCTCCCAGCAAAAGAATGATGCAGTTGATGATTTTTTAATAATATAAAGCTGTCAGCAATGGTGGGAATAGGGAAGATGGAGATTTTTGGCGTAGTAGATTAAGGAATTTTGATGTAAAAAAAAAAAGGAAGAGAAAAGAGGAGAGAGAAAAAAGAAGAAGATTTAATTGGATCCCTTAATTGAATTCACTAATAATGGGATGAGAGCCTTTTAAGGAGCAATGTATACAATTTGCATAAAAAATGGAATTGTAATTTTTTTGACAGTTGTATTAAAGATCAAAATCATAACTGGATGAAGTATAATTTTAAGGATATATTCATTATTCTATACCTTAAATAACTAAAAGCAATCTTCATAATCCTAAACAAAAAAAGAATTGCTTCAGTTACCTTACCTACTGAGACACGTACCTTTCTTAGAGCATAGATCGCAGATTTTCTTAGAAAATCCCACAGAATCTCCTAAAAAGTCCTATTTATAGTCAGTTTCTATCTTCTTGATATTCAGTTAGGATTCTGTACCAGGCCGTATTATTTTACCAAATACGTATTATACTAGGAAAAAAACTTATATCTTATTTATTTGACAAAATTTTCTAGTAATATACAACTCATCAATGATAAATACTACTCCTAATTCTTTCCTGGCTATTTCTGTTCAAGGGTTTTAGAGCAAGGAGTCAGTGCCGAATCCATATTCAATGGCAGAATTACCAGTGAATATGGCGGCGGCCAATGAGGCTGACGAAGATCTGTGCCCCATAAAAGAAGTTGATATGACTGTTCCAAAAACTGATGATCCAACAACCCCAGTAGTTACATTCAGAATGTGGTTTCTTGGAATCACTTCTTGCGTTTTGCTATCTTTTGTAAATCAGTTTTTTTGGTACAGAACTGAGCCGTTGACGATTTCGTCTACGGCTGTTCAGATTGCTGTTGTCCCTATAGGTCATCTCATGGCAAAAACCATAACGAAAAGGGTGTTTTTTGAGGGTACGCGTTGGGAGTTTACGCTAAATCCAGGGCCATTCAATATAAAAGAGCATGTCTTGATTACGATTTTTGCAAATGCTGGTGCTGGTAGTGTTTATGCTACTCATATATTGAGTGCTGTTAAGCTTTACTACAAGAGACCACTTAGTTTTTTTCCTGCTTTGCTTATCATGGCCACTACTCAGGTAACCAACTCTTTTTACTAACCTTTTTATGGGGATTACTTGTTTTGAGGAAGGTACTGTTTTAATGCGTTCAACTGAACATAATATTTTTGTCATATATATCACAAAAATTTCAAAATATAAAGTGGGCATTTGGACATAAGAATTGTGAAATTCCAGAAAAAAATGATTTTTTTTTTCAAGTTGAAAATGGTATTTGGAAATTGGAGTTGTGTTTGGACATGAATACAAGTTGGAATTGTTTTTGAATTTTTGTGAATGATTTGCAGCGAAAAATGTTAAAATAACTTTTTGAGTTTTTCAAATTTCAGAAATTCCAGAATTCAACTTCAAGTTGATTTGGAATTTCATGGCCAAAACAGTGATTTCAGAAAAAAGCGAAAACAATTTCCAGAAAAAAGTGATTTTTTTTATGGCCAAGTGGCCCTAAATTCTGATCCCATATTTCAAAAGTACAATTTGTTTAATACCGATCAAATTTTATCCTAGATCTGCCTCCAATAACATGTCTTTTATTGGTACTGTTTAAGAATTTGTAGTAGTTGGATATTTGATTTATACAAGTAATAATTAGTTATATAGTTACTGGTTGTTTAGGTATTTGAGCATGTTAATTCTGAGGGTGGTCTAAAATATTTTACGAGTTAATTAACATAAGTTGACTAAAGCTACATTCTTCAACTTTTTCATTTCCTTTCTATTACTCCTAGTTATTTGTTTGTTTGTTAATTTATTGTTATCTTCCAATTATTGGCAGATGTTAGGTTTTGGTTGGGCTGGTATTTTCCGGAAGCAGTTGGTTGAGCCAGCAGAGATGTGGTGGCCAGGCAGTTTGGTTCAGGTCTCCTTATTCAGGTATATGCATAGGATTAATGTCGGTGTAATTTAACATGTTATAGCATATTACTTTACCATTTATTTTAGTTTATTACCAGGAAAAGTTGTACGTAGAAATTAAACTCATTAGTTATACCATTGTATTATTGTGCAGGGCTCTCCATGAAAAGGAGACTAGACCAAAGGGTGGTACAACTCGGATACAGTTCTTTCTCATAGCCTTAGTTTTCAGCTTTGCATACTACATATTTCCTGGTTATCTTTTCCAGATGTTATCCTCATTTTCTTGGATCTGTTGGCTGGCCCCTAAGTCTATCCTTGTTCAGCAATTGGGTTCTGGAATGCGCGGGCTTGGAATTGGGGCATTGGGATTTGATTGGACGACAATTTCATCATACCTTGGAAGTCCTCTAGCAAGTCCATGGTTTGCCACTGCTAATGTTGCAGCTGGTTTTGTACTTGTGATGTATTTGATGACTCCGCTCACTTATTGGTTCAACGTTTACAATGCCAAGAATTTCCCTATATTTTCTTCCGGCCTCTTCACGCTAAATGGGACGAAATACAACACCGAGGGAGTCATTAATTCACACTTTGAGCTTGATAAAGCTGCCTATAATCAATATGGTCAGTTGCATTTGAGCACCTTCTTTGCCATGACATATGGTCTTGGATTTGCTGGTCTTACTGCTACTCTCGTCCACGTTTTTCTCTTCCATGGAAGGTATGCATCAGCTTATTATTCTTGGATTATTGAATGCTAGAGCCCTTAAAAGTGATTGAAATATAACAATACATTGATCGATTTCAGATATTAAACTCCGCATATCTACGTTATAATCTTTGCATATAGACCATAAACCAAACACCCCCTTATAATTTTAATAGAGTGATCATGTCATCTATTGAAATGCAATACATTTTTGGCTTCTAAGTCATCTTGATATCAAAACTTGGAGGGTGTCTTAAAAAATTTGTCTTTGCAGAGAAATGTGTAATCGATCCAGAGAAGCATTAAAACACAAACCAGATGTGCACACAAGGCTAATGAAAAGTTACAAGCAGGTCCCTATGTGGTGGTTCCATGTTGTTCTTGTAGCAAATATGGTATTAATCTTCTTTACTTGTCAGTATTATCTTGAAACATTTCAATTGACTTGGTGGGGTATCTTGCTAGCTTTTGCTATAGCACTGGGTTTCACTCTACCCATAGGAATAATTTCAGCCACTACAAACCAGGTAATTAATACACTGTTCCCCAAAACCGAATCTCCTTTATTTGTTGTGTTGTTGTCAATTTGACCTTATTTCATTTTCTTTTGGTTGAAACAGCAACCAGGTCTTAATATCATCACAGAATATGTTATCGGGTATCTATACCCTGGCCGCCCTGTGGCTAACATGTTGTTCAAGGTATATGGGTACATAAGTATGTCCCAAGCTCTTAGTTTTGTTTATGATTTCAAGCTTGGTCACTACATGAAAATTCCTCCCAGGGCAATGTTTATGGCTCAGGTTAGTATTAATTCTTGATGTAGATAAGAATAATATCACTTTGGTTATTTTCTGAATGCTAAGATTATTTGGTTTTTCAGATGCTGGGCACATTCATATCGATAATTATCTACACCATAACTGCTTGGTGGCTCATGGATACGATACAAAATCTCTGTGACATCTCTGTGTTACCAGATAACAGCCCGTGGCAGTGTCCAATGGACCGTGTATTCTATGACGCCTCTGTTATATGGGGGCTCATTGCGCCATTGAGAATATTTGGATCACTTGGTGTCTACCCTAATGTGAATTGGTTCTTTCTTGGAGGAGCCATTGCCCCTGTACTAGTTTGGTTGGCGCACAAAGCTTTCCCTAAGCACAAGTGGATTTCCCACATAAATATGCCTGTCTTATTGGGCGCAACAGCAATGATGCCTCCAGCTAGCTCTGTCAACTACACGAGCTGGCTAATTTTGGCGTTCCTCTCTGGTTATGTTGTTTATAGACGCTGGCCTCACTTGTGGGAACGTTACAACTACGTTTTGTCTGGTGGCCTTGATTCTGGAACTGCTTTTATCGCCATCTTGTTATTCCTAGCTATACAATCCAAAGATATCAATATTGACTGGTGGGGAAACAACACAGACGGATGTCCGCTAGCTGCTTGTCCCACCGCTCCAGGCATTTCTGCTAAAGGATGTCCAGCCATATTTTAAATTTTTTTTTTACCATCAAGTTTTCAGTCTTTTCAACATCCTGTAATCTCGGTCAGAACATGCACTTATTAATTTAAAGAGTTCTTTAAGATTCCAACTCTTTTTAGGCAATATTATGATAAACAGCAGTTTTCGGTGTAGGAGTATTACTTTTTTCTTCTGTTTGGTATTTGGACGTGAAGCTCCCTTCAATATATGATGTTTATACCTACAAATATTCAAACTTCTATGATCTCCCAGTTTCTGTAGCTTAAGTGGCTGTCTGTTTAAGTTTATTCTAGTAGCTTTTTAACGTGAGTAACTAAAAGTCTAAAATAGCAAATCTTACTCATTTTATGGGGAAAAAGCTGGTGCTGCATTGGGAATTAGATTATCAATTTTGTTTGTCATTGGATTGGGAACAGAAAATGACTAAGTTAATCTTCGTGAAAGTAAATCAGTTCACAATTGTTTCTACTCATGGTCACAAGTAAGAATTGTGCCTTATCCTCAAATTTGGGGCCCCATTTTTTTTTTTAGAAATAATGGGTTTATAGGTATTTAAAAAATAACAATATTTTGTACTTTTAATACAAAAAGTAGAATTTTTCATATAAAGAAAATAAAACTTTTTAGATATACAAATAAAGTAATTATTTGACTTATTAAAAAATGGGTAGATGAATTATTTTCTCAACGTTTCAATTTAAGTTGGTTTTTCAATTTAACTATCTAATTTTTTTAATTTATTAGATAACATGTAAAAAATTAATTACTTTTCTTCCTTAATTTCCAAAAATCAATTTTTCTTTTTCCTAATCTCTTCACATTTCAGAAACCCCTACATTATTTCTGTGTTTCTCTTTGATATTTTATTCACCTTCTTTATCCAATCCAAAATTTCGTACTCGCCTTCTTTCTTCAAGATTTCATTAGTAAGTGCTCAACCGTCTTTTAAAAGTTTAAGCCTCACGTTACTTTGGCTTTAGGCCACACATGTGCTTGAGCTGCCATTGTAATTCTACTCTTACGGATGAATGATACTTCTATCCTAGATATTACGCTTACAGATAAATGTTTTTTATAAATTGAGGTAAGAATACATATTAACAAAGAGTTTAAGACTAAATATCAAAATACCATGGTTAAGTAATAAAGTTAAGTAGAAAAATACATGTGTCGTGCACTTATTAATTTGGTTCATACATTGGATACTGGTTTAGACACCGGATTCGGTAATAGGAACTATGAGTGTACATAAGTCGGGTTGATTAGGATTTTTCAGTTACCAAACCAAATCAATGGTGTCAGGTTTTTAAATCTATAAACCAATCCAAACCAACAAAGTCGAGTTTTCAATCTCGGTTTTTCTCGGGGTTTTCGATTTTTTTCGGGTTTTCGATTTTTTCCGGTAAAGTTTTTATAGCACAAAATATATAACTTGTGCTCCAAATATTTTTTTAGTCATAGTAACTGAGTAAGATACAACTATATAAGGTAGTTTCCAAGAAAATAACACAATAATATGAGATAAGTCATAGCATTATACTAAAATATTCAATAACAAAGATAATAAAATTACATAAAGCAAATATTGTTAATTAATAAGCCATAATAAAAATTAACATAATCTAAAAATACTATATAGGTCATGCTAAAATAAGTATAGCTAATAAGTACTATTAATTACATAATTGAGTACTAAAAAACGATAAACTAAGTTATGCTTACATTATAAACTAATATAAAACTAAAAAATAGATATCCAACACTATCGTCATTCCTAGTATTGAATTGAATTTTTTTTGTTAGTATTAGTATTGATTTGAACTTTAATTTGTTTGATCAGTTACTACATTTATGAGCTATAAAATTTATTTACCATTCAATAATGCTAAGTCCAAACTTGAAATAATACTTTAAAAGATAAAATTGTAAAAAGGTTTAAGAAATATTTATAAATTACATTACAATAAATATTTATATGTATAAAATATTTTTAAAAATTGTATAAATGATCGGGTTGGTTTGGTTTCGGTTCGACTTTTTTTAGTTAAAACCAAACCAAACCAATTATGNTAGCTCCAAAAGCAGTTGCAAAGCCAATGTGCTTTCTTCAGGCTTGCGCGCAAGGGATCGCACCACCAATCCAATAGCATTATCTACTGTACCTATTCTTTCCTGCCAGCGCACCAGATAAAATAGCTTTAAGATCATTCAGAGGAGGTATCCATTTGATAACATTATTTGTTTGTGGGAATTGTGTGAGAGATAAGTAAATTTTGAAAAAATCCACACATAAGCGACCAGTTGCGTGTTCATTGCTACTTGGATCATATTATTGTGAAATGTACACTAAACTGTACCTTGCCTTCTTCACTATCCTTTGAGAGGGCGTAAAGTATCATTAAAGCAGACTTTCTTATTTCAGTATTATTTGCAGATAGAAGATCTATAGTAACTGGAATGTAATTTTCCATCACTATCCATTCTCTCTGCAGCTCACTCCTTACACAAAACTCCAGCAACTTCTGCAAAGATTGAAGCACTTCTTCCTCATCGTTTGTCTGAATTTTCTGTTTTAGGGAAGCAATCGTGACCATGATGTTTCTGTTTTTCCATTCTTCAATTGACTGACGCAGCGTTTTATTGGACCTGAGATCTGATCTTTTCAAGGGATTTTTGGTCAAGGGGCACAGCTTATTGCCATCTGCTAACCACTTCTCAATCGCTGTCCTTTCAAATATCTGCCCGGAAGAAGTCTCCACCGGATCTTCCATGACATCTCCAGTAATCGGGCAATAAAATGATTGCAAAGGTTCTAATGGTTGCCTACCCAAAGAGTTCCTTTTAGTCAAGTAATTTGTCTGCTTTTCTTCTGCAGTTGTAAGCAAATCAGCCTTGCCAAGTAATATAATGATCTCTTCCATCCGTAATGTCTCAGCCAGGTTCTTCCCTTGTTCACTACTTTCAGTTTCTCTCTTGAATTCTTCAAATTCTTTCTTCAGTTGTGATTGCTCATTTGCTATTCCAACAGCTTTGGCAATACAAATGAGCAAATCATTTGCATAGGATCTATTGACATTCCTCTCTTGTATTCCTGATTCAATTTTCACTGAAACTTCCTCCTCCTTGGTAGAGACATCATACTTAGTATCCAGCATTTTCTTGCATAAATCTTTCAGCTGATCAGCGATTTCTGGTAAAATATTCAGAGGTTCCGTTGTCATTAGCAACAAAGTCTGAGTAATATCCCTAGTACTACTCTCAAAGAACTTGACAATCCTCCGACAGTTCAATAGGAGATAAATTTTGTTCCTATTTCTGCAGTCCAAAGCTAGTTGCTTAATCAATTCTATCTCCAGCTTGAGATCCTCAAAAGCAGGACTTAAGTTAGTGATTTTACTGGTTCCAGCCTTCGATAACTCTTTTAGGACAAATGCAATCTTCTCCAAGAAATTTGAAAATTTATTGAAATTTTCCTGCTGTACAACAACAGAATTTGCAGCATCCATTGTTTCAAATATAAGTTGAGTTATTTCAGTGACGAATCCTGAAGCTGCAACGTGAGAAACATCAGTGGACGGATCCTCTGGCATGATAACACACTTAGGAATGCAAAAGCAAAGGCAAATCCCTCAATCCTCCAGTATGCGAGCACGTTAGATAGCCAAACTTCAGCCCTTTCCAGGTACAATTATATCAAATATTGGATCGCTGTGTCGAGGTCCTACAGGAATGCCTGCATCAGTTTCCATCTTTACAACATCAATGCAAAATTTTCAACAGTGTCTCGGACAGTTGAATTTCAGCACTCAAACATCGATTTGTTAATTTGGGCATAAAGATCTCAACTAATGTCTTTGTCTTATAAGAAAACTAGTTACTGAAAGAAAAATTATACAAACGACAGATGCAACAATCTATTTCCGTAAAACTTCCTAAAATCTTTTAACCACTCTACTCAAGAAAAATTGCTCTATTGTTTGTTTATTGCTCGCTTTTCTGTTCCTGAGCCGTGGGTCTGCCGGAAGAAGCCTCTCTACCCTCGTAAGGTAGGGTATTAGTCTGCATACATACTACCCCACCACTCGTGGGATTTCACTGGGTTTGTTTTTGTTATTGTTACTCAAGAAAATTGCTTGATTTGTTTATCAGGTAAGACTATTTGATCTTCACATGAATTTTCTAAAGTATGATTCTGTTTGTGCAAAATGTAATCCGTTTTTTGCACTTCATTTTATCCACCTCTCCATTTTAGCATGATTTTGGTGTAAACTGTCTATTTTCCTTTACAACCTTTTGCTTGAAAACAACCTAGTAAAATTTAAATATAAAGAAGATGAAAGATAATAACAAAGAAACAAAATGCAGAATTTCTGAAATCATTCTGAGACCATTAACTGATGTAAAAAGCTTTTCTATTATTCTTGTTAAGATAAACACTGTAAAACCACATATCACACATCTTCCTAGCTTAAAAGCCCACTTTTCAAGATAATTAAAAATGTAAATGAACCTAGATGTAATTTAGCTGGTAAATAAAGTTTAATATCATATCAGTGCATTTAGGGAGGGAATTCAAGTTGCAAAGATACTGAAATACGTATTTACTAAGAACAGTTACGTACCTCTTTAAGGAAAAGTCTATTTATGTGCAGTTGATGCTCTTGAAGTTGTTTCGCTGAATTCTGGTTCTTCCAAAATTTGATTCCGACCTTCCAGAGTAGGCAAAGATGTGATGTAGAATTAATTAACAGGAGACATTTCTCTTTATGTGCTCTTTCCTCACTGCGCAAAGTCAAGTAAACGTCAACGGGAGAAGAAACACGGCAATTACCATGAATAGAAAGGTTCAGACTAATGGATTGGCCCCTACAACCGGGGCCTGGCGCCAATTAGAAGGCACTACTTGCGTGTGTTTAACTGTCACGACCCAAAATACGCCGTAGGCCGTGATAACGCCTAACGCCACCGTCAGACAAACCAACGGTGATTAACCAACTTAGTTACTCATTTCATTATCTTTAAAATCATAAATCCAATTAAATAAATAGAGTGAAATCCGATACTCGTAGAACACCCGTGATTTTTATTTACCAATTTCCGTATAAAGTATAAATTACAAGATAAAATAATAATAATTACGTGACTACAATAATGAACATCCACTAGGACCCCCAAAACCTGATGTCACAAGTGTATCAGCATCTACTAAGAGATAATAAAATACAATTTCTGTCTGGAATACAAGTTAGACAGGAGAATGTACGTAACTTTGATGGAGACTCTGTATGCTGCGGATCGTAACCTGAAAGCAGCTCACCATAAAGTCCCCGCAATAACCGCGCCTCTACGCCCAAAAAACCAATATATA